TTTGTATGTGGTGCTGAGGATCGAACCCGGGCCGCACGCATGCCAGGCGAGCGCGCTACTGCTTGAGCCACATCCCCAGCCCTCTGGGCTTTATTAACACCGATCACCAGCTCACACTTCCCCGTGCTCCTCTATGGGTCTCCTTCCCAGTCAGCACATGACTGGATCGAGCGAGTGCAGGCAGTGGACACATCATCACAAACAACACGGAAAGGAAACGTGGGTAGTAATTTGATGGCTATTACAATAGTGCAATTTCATTTCCTGTTTGGGAAGATCTGGGCTTTCTACATCATGAAATTATGACGATTCTTTTGGTATCGTTTTAATTTGTGAACATCAGAACCTAGTCCACTATGTATATTTTAGTTGCACTTAAAAGATAGTCAAGATGGGGAGGAGTAGCACACACCTGTAAATCCCAGTGGCTGGGGAGGCTGAGGAAGGTGGATTGTGAGTTCAAAGCCAGCCTCATCAACAGTGAGTTGCTAAGCAATTCAGTGACACCCTGTCTCTAAATAAAATATGAACAGGGCTGGAGATGTGGCTCAGTAGTTAAGTGCCTCGAGTTCAATCCCCAGTACCCCCGACCAGCCCCTGAAAAAGCCAAATTATCAAGACACAAAAGATCACTTCATTCATTCACAATACTTATTTCTGCAGCCACATATCAGTTTCCAATCAAAGTTCTGAGATGAGGATTTCTGCCTGAAATTCTCTTCTTTCCATGGTAAAACCCTGCCAAATGTGCTGACTGACCCTTTACCCTGATTCAGTCACTGAAAATCAACAGCCTCCATTTTGAGGATCCTACATGGTCACCTTTTCAGATTCTTTTGGCTTCTGACTCTCTAGTTCTCTATCACAAGTAGGTAACTTCTTCATGTCAGAACGGGGTGTGTGATGTACTCAAAGCGCCCAGAAATCACTTTGTGAACTGGATGGAAGCCTTGCCAGAATATTCCTGTCATGGTGAGGGGATTAAATTTACCTACAAAATAATAAGGAAACTTGTGAACATGGATTTCTCTAGGGGCATTCTGCTGTGAGGTATTGTCTGAGAACACCAAGTATAAAAGGTTGCCAGGCCCCCCTGTGAACAAGTCAGAGGTCTTCAGGCTGACCCCTGTTACTCTTCTCAAGAATATAAAAAGAGATTCAAAAAGTGTACAACTAATAAAAAATTCAACATCTAGCCTTTCAGTCTATGCTTCTCCAAAAAAATAATTATAAAGACGAGTAGATATGCACTGTGCATCAGAATAAATAATCTCAAAACTGAGCAAATACTATGGTGTCACAATTATTTAGTATTCAGTATCCAGTGAATATCCAGTGTCACAATTTCATGTGACAGATATTTTATTGATGGTCAGTGAAAAGCAAAACTTAAATTCTTTGCCCTTTAAGCAAACACATTTATTATAAATCAAGCAAATGGGTAATTGTATATTAAGAAATAATCTTGTAATTCTCTAGTAGGACTTTGCAGATGAATACAGTTGGAGGACCACTGAAGTGCCAAGACATCTAAGGAGCTACAAGGTTCCCCCCACTTCCCAACCATCGATCCCTAAGATTGGACACTTTTCATACATGATACTTCCACCAAACCAACCTATTACAGTAGGTTGCAGAAACAGATGAGGGCCCAGCTGCATTCCATTAAGCCAGGTACTGAAGAGATTTGCAAAAATGTCAGGCAGTGCTGCTCTTCTCACAAATTAAAAAAAAAAAAAGTTTTGTAGTTGTAGATGGACAGAATGCCCTTGTTTATTTTTATGTGATGCTGAGGATGGAACCCAGTGGTACCTCATGCATGCTATGCAAGCACTCCCCCACTGAGCTACATCCACAGCTTTCTTCTCACAAATTTTTATTTTGGAAAATATAGTTTATAAAATTGCAGCTTATGTTAACATGTAATGAGTTTGTTATAAAACAATTGATATTTTTAAAGTGTCTCATATACAGTAAACAATGATAAATATAACCCATATAAACAAAAGTTTTTTGAGGTACTTAGTTTTAAAGGGATGTAAAGGAGAGTCATGAGACCAAATGACTCCAAGTAACAACCCTAGGAATTCCTGTCTCATTATAAAATTGAAAAAAAGTGTGCTTGGGAGCATTTAATGAACACAAACCCAAGATGTACAGTTAAGAAAAATCAAACGTAGAAGTAGGGTTTCAGAAGTTATTTAAAATAAATGAAACCCACTTTTGCCCCGGACTTCAAATCCTTCCTATATACCTGGGAAGCTGGGCCCGGAAACTGACCACAGGCTGCCTCCTTACCTATTGGAGCAACCAGTGAGAATAGGAGCTATCATCAAGGAACAGTGGGCCAGTAAGCCTGCCATTATTAAAGAATTAAGGTCCTAATGAATTAAAAGTAAACACAAACTCATCTTTCATAATTTTTGTCTTTATATGTGACTGTTTGTATATTAAAAACATTCCACAAAACTGAGAATTCAATCAATAGATTTCTACAGCTTGTAAAAGCTGAGAACATTCTAACTATAGAGTTGTGTGGCCAATCTTAGACAAAGAGCTCATTTTAATAGTTCTCTCCCTCACATCTGCACTAATAAGTAAAAGGGAGTCAAAAACAATTCATTAACAATTTCCTTGACAGTTAAAAAATGTGGAGTTAAATTCCTGCAGACAGCAAAATTCTGGATTAGAAATCAACTGACTAGAACAGCCTCTCAGGCTTTCTTAACTATACTTTTAGGAACAAAAAAGGAATATGAGCTGCATTTGCTGTGCATTGCTGTGTGACATTCTTGTGAAGTGTTATGCACAGTGACTGGCACAAATAAAGTTGTTGACATGAATTTAAAAACATAGGTGGCAGAGAAACATTTATGGATCAAGTGCTGGTGGTTCTCCCTCATTATTTTATTGAATTACTCAACACTTCATGTCTTACAGTCCATTCTAGGGAAAAAAATCAACCAAACAAACAAAAAACTATCAGGGTCCAGAGAGATCAGGTAAATTACCAAGCTCACATAGAAAGTGGTTGAAACTTGTTTGCTTCCAAGTACATGTTCTTTCCACAACATACCCAATCACCCAGGAGTGACCACAAAGCCAATTTCAGAAAATAATTTGACATAGGGTATGCTCTGTGCACAGTAGATTTTACTTTATTTCCTAATATCTTAGCTAGAAAACTATCCCATGATGACTGATATTAACAAGACAACTTAAAGTTCTGAAAGAAGGTTACTTTCCTGCTAATAAAACTTTTACGAATATTTGAACAAGTATTAACTTTTCTCTCCAAATTCAAGTAACTATGAGCCTCAGCTTCTTAGTGACTACTTCCAAATCAACAGTACTATGAATAATTTAGGCAATTTATTTTAAACAAAAAAGGAAGCATTAAGCCAAAGTACCATGTAAGGACTCTATGCATATTTTCTGGTTCTTGGAAGTTGTCAGAGAAAAACAAATCTCCAGAGGGGAATAAAAATTAATCTGGAGTGGCTGTGTGGACTCACCATATGTACACTGCAAAAACATAACTGTACCCTCACACAATTCAGCAGAGTAGAAAGTCGACAGGAACAGAAAAGGTCCGGCTGAAAAAGAAAGGGATGTAAGGTGGGCAGAAAGGAGACCAACAGGTAATTAAAGAAAGGAATTAAGGGCAGAGTATTTTCCTCCCAACTCCAATTGACTGCGAATCTTCATGTGTTAGGAAGCATCACTTAGTAACTCCCCTTCAGAGACAAACTATTAAATTGGACAGACCCTCAATGGGGCAACTCTTATGCATTTCTCTTTTTGAGTGAGCTCTGAAATAAATACTGGTAAAACTGCAAGCTTTTTAAGTTGGGGCTCAATAAAAAAGGAGAGGCATACTCCCCTTGTGTCCTCAGAAATACAACATAGGAAGGCAGGATATGGAAAATGCTTCAGAGATAAATTCATTAAGAAAAAACATTACAAACACAAATGATCAGATAAAAAAATATTTACTTCCCCTAAGAACCATATATATATTAGAGAAGGTGAAGACTTATTGCAGTTTAAAGAAAAAAAATTATTTAAGATTATCAGCTTTAAATGTAAGTGAAGATATTCTACATGCTGCCACCAGAGGTTGGCTTGATTGCTCTGAAGTAACAACACTTGAAAGCTCCTATTCTTTGAAACTAATTTAAACACATTGAATTGTTGAAAGATTAAAAACCGCAGTCAGCTAATTACACTCTCTCTCATCTCTTATTCAGCAAATGAATCACTTTTCATTACCACTTAGCTGAAGTACATGAATTTCTGCCTAATTAGAAATGTTGTAGATGGAACATTAGCAAGAATGGAGCAGGTCAGGATATCTTTGCGCTTCATTTTTAATTCCTAACAGTAGAGTCTGATAGGAAAGAATAGAGAAGTCATTAAATAATTCTAAATTATTTATAAAAATTACTTTGCCCAAATTATAATTATTTTTTCCTCAAATGGTCTCAAATGTCTAACAGAATAAAAGAAGCAGCAGTTCAACATTGATTTTAATGAACATTTTAATGTTATGTATAACAGAACATTATGAATACAATGGAAACAAAGTTTTATCAATTTAATAAAAAAATTTTCAACATAAAGTGGGGAGGTAATAATCTGATGCCTATATTATAGTATTTATTTTAAAAAATATTCCCAGCTTGAGGTTGAAACATTTAATTTTGCATTCCAAACTCTAGAATCATGATTTTCATGTGAGCTTAATGCAGAATTACAGCAGGAAAACAAAAACATTTTAATTAATTTCCTTTATTTGTCATTAAATCAATAAAATCTTTGACTGCTACAGGTCTCCTTTAATAATATATATTTCAACTCCTCTCTATTGGAACCGTATTGCTAATGGCATATTATATACACTCAAAACCAAAACAAAACAAATACTGTATAAAATCTAAAAGCAAACATTGTTGAGTTCTAACATTTATATTTAACTTAAGGTTTTAATGGATTTTTACCTTTTCAATCTTTTGAAAAGACACAAAAAAGATAAAAAATAAATATTTTTCTCTTTGACTGTTTCTGACTTAAATGATGGCTACAGGGATAAACACGGAAGAAAGCCTTGCCAAGTTAATCACTGCAAATTGTAAATGATGACTGCTGAAAACAAACAAAAAATACTGAAGGTTTTTTATTTCTTCTCTTAAAAGGAAACCATAGAGCAGTCCTGAAAAAAATATTTTTCCTAGTTCTGCACAGGATAATTATAGCAGAAGACATGAGAAAAGTTCCATAGCTATCACCAATTGCTTAAAGAGATTTTGTTACAATAAAAATTTGGATAGTATAATAGCAGTGTTGCTGGAACATTAGCAAAAGTATATACATTCCAGTTACCTTTGATTTAGCCATAATCACATATGTATGCCTTTTTTTTGGACAAAAATATATATTTTTATAAAAAAATGATCATCCAACTTTAATGATTTCATATATGGACTCAAGAGTGGTAAAAAGGAACAGACCCAATTATGACAAGGCGATTCAGGGACAGAAAAATCAAGTTCCTCAGGAAAAGAAAAGTATAAAATTAGAGATTCAGCCCCTACTCCAGTCTCTCCACAAATTATGTTACTGGGCTTTTCAATTTATAAAGGCTTTCAATGGTCTCATCACCCCATTTGTGGTCTATCCTCACTGGGAAAAATGACTGCCTCAACTGAAGTGCTTTCTGCTTGGCTTTCTGAAATACTAGATATTTCACTTTTATAAAACAGCCTTTTTGGTTCTTTATGTAGGTTTACTTCAATTAATTCATAAAAGAAAGGGGAATTTATTAGCATTTTCCATCCCAACATCACCTATCTGCACAGCTAAAAATTCTTCATTCAATCTGCTTCTTTACAATTTCTTATTTGCTAAAGTTGGCGAAGTTTGCAAAGGCATCTTGCTTAGGTTGCACAGTTCCAGAAGTCATGGCTATGTTGGGCATGCCCATTCCCATAGTGCCTGTTAAGCCCATCCCAGCAGTTGACATCCCTATGTTCATGTTCATGCCCATCATGCTCTGGTTCATCATTGGAGTATTTCCAAGAGGGGCCATTCCCATGGTGCCAGTCATCACGTTGGGCATACTCATAGGCATGGGTCCCCCCATTAAAGGGTTAGTTTGTGGCCGGACAGGAAGCATGTTTGATGGAGAACTGAGATTCACAGCTCCAAAACTTTGAGTCATCACATTAAGAGGCTGTTGCATATCTACCAGAAGAAAAAAGAAGAACTTTACCAAACAAATTCTTAGATTCACAGAAAAATACAATGCTTGAGGCAGTCCTGGCAGCAGGGGAAAAGATTACCAGTACACAGAGAAGTGGAATGTGTTGATGGGACTTAACTTACTCTGCTGCTGAATCATTGTATTGAGCGATGGCTGCTGGGGTTTGGAAGGCTGCATACCAGGTAGTAAGTTGTCCAGGCTGATGTTTACACTGGGGTCAGACCAAGTAGAAGGCAGGGTTTTGCTGACTGACTTCTGGACCATATCTGTATTCTGATTATAGAGAGGATTAGGCTTCTGCAGCACTGTGCTAATATTTTGCAAAGGCTGAAAAATAAAAAAGATGCTCTAAAAATTAAGCATCTGTTCTATAAAGATTATCAGGTGGCAATTTAATCACAATAATGAATTTCTAAAACCAAAAGAACCACAAATGTTTTATGTTATTGTCTTCAGTACTCTGAATCATTAGCTTTCTAAACAGGTCCTTCTAATGTCTCAATTAGCTCTGGGTTCCAAAAACCCAATAATATATCTACACTAACAATTATTCTCCCATAACCCAAAGTCTAGAAGCCACCAACAATATATCTACACTAACAATTATTCTCCCATAACCTAAAGTCTAGAAGCCACCATCCCTGGCAAATGCTCAGAGCAACTACCAACTCCAGGTTAGCTTTGAGGAAATACACAAGTGGAAATTTATTCTTAGAAAACATAATTCAGGTTATGATTTCTCAAGTTACAAAAGGTAAAACCATTTTAACAGCAAATTATATTTCACATATCCTGGTTGCCATTTCCCTGCTCTGTGCATACTTCTACTAACTGAAGTGCACAACTAGTGGAATTTGATGTACACATGGACCAATTTAGGAGCAAGGAGAAATTCAGGAGAAAGAAGCAGAGATGCCAGGTAGTTACAAAGGATAATTATGAAAAGAACAGAAAAAAAAGGAAAGGTCTAGGAAAAGGAAGAATAATTTAAAAATGGACCAACATAAAGACATATAACATAGTTACTATTACCACTGCAAATAAAGCAGACTGGCTTTATGCTTAAAACACGTGTTAAGGCTGATTTCTGATATATGCAGCAGTTACCCTTCTGCTTCTTTCTTCTTTTCTTTCATCCTAACACCCAAAAGAGGAAATTCTCACGTATTACAATGAGTAATTAGTATTATAAACAGATATTCTCAATACCTTGAGTCAAAAATAGTAAGTTCCTGGTACAACTGAGAAACTTAATTTTACAACCCTGCATTTGTATAAATTCTAAGTTGATAATAAGTAATTTAGATTTAACTATGTAAAATGAATTAAGCTCCCCTTTTAATAACAAAAACCATAGGAGGAGCCTTATAACATTTATATAATGGAGAGCAGGCTCAGAATAGGGAAAAACTTTTACCATTCGAGAACACGACTTTCTATGTTAGCAACGATTGTTTAAAACAATGATACTTCAAGAACATAACCAGAAATTTAACAAGAGAATGTTTGTCATGGGTGAAGCAACATAACATATTTTTCTTAAAAACAAATTTTAAACACAACTAAATACCAATTTTTACAATTCAATTAATATTCTGAATTTTCTTCCTCTGGGGAAGACACCATGTTTGGTTTTATAGGGACTATAAGATGAGTGAGAAGGTCTTGCTTTCTCCAACCTGAATGACTATACTAGGCAAAAGAGTATAAAGTAAATGCAGTGTGTAAAGTCCCCCCCCAACACACCCACACCCATACCCACACCCCCCCCACACACGTCCATCACGTGCTGCTTAATGAGGTAATGATGTTTGGTCAACAATGGACCACATAAAATTATATTGCCTAGTGTCATCAGAACCACCTCAGCTTTTTTGAGTGTACTATGATGTTCACACAATGACTAAAATGGCTAATGGCAATTGGCAATTTTCTCAGACTGTACCTATTGTTAAGCAACATGGAAACACACATACACACACACACACGGCTTATCTTTTCTCACACTATCCTATGATTAAAGTATCTTGAAGATTAGAAATCATAATTTCCCAGTGAAGCAGACAACTTACCTGTGACCTCGACATGGGCAAACCAAGTCCTACAGCATTAGTGCTCATCAAAGAGAAATTCATACTCTGGGAAGATGTCATGGTTGCTTGGGATGAGCCCATAAGATCAAACAGATCTGAAGAATTTGAGGCAGCTGGAGGTGGGCCTAAAGCTGGTTGTGAGCTACTGACAAGTTCCACTGCTGGCTGAGAGGTACTGCCGAAGAGTTCGCCACTGGAAGGAACAGGCCCTGATGGGGCTTGGTTGAAGGCACTCCAGTCACCAAAGTCTCCATTCCCACTTGTTGCAGTTACTAAGACAAAAAGAACCACAAGGGTAAGAAACTTTCTGAAATGCACAGAACAAACTTATATAACATCTATGAACTGAAACTAATTAGAACTGATTGGAGTCCATCCTGATTAACATCTGCAGGTACTGTCTCCATCTGGACGTTATTCTTTCTCATGAATATTACACGAGTGTTAACAAGGTGGCAAAGAAAAAAAATTAAACTTCACATATAAAGTAAAACCCACCTCCTGCAGGTCTGAAGGTGACACACAGAAATTACCATAAAAACTTCCTTTCAACCAAGTTTGTGTATTAAATCTATTTCCAGCTGAACAGATAAGAACCAGTCTGGGACTTGAAAAGCAAGAGAAAATTGTAAACTGGTTAAACTTTTTGCTGACAGCTACAAAATGTTCAAGTGAGGAGACGCTCTGTAAAATCAGAGAACTCAACTTATTTCACTTACTGTTTGGAAAGGTTCAAGGAGAAATCTTTCGTTTGTCATGTTTTAAACCTCAAATTCATAAGATTAAATTTCTTTAAAAAGTATGGAGGGAAGGCTGGGCCGTAGGTCAGTGGTAGAGCACCCACCTTGCATGTGTGAGGCACTGGGTTCGATCCTCAGCACCACATAAAAATAAAAAGATATTGTGTCCAACTACAACTAAAAAAGAAATTCAGGAAAAAACAACAGTATGGAGGGAAAAAACTTAAAGGTTAGTGTTAAGAAATTCTCATTTGACTATGCTTCCATTAATACCACAAGGGCCATAGTCATGATATAGCTGCTAGTACATTTCTTGGCTTCAGTTGAATATGTCCAATGTATTTAAATATAAAGGGCGAAAGGGAAACTCATGCTAACATTAAAACAGAAACAAAATGCTACCACTATATTTCAAAGTATAATTATAAATCTGAAGTTGAATACAATAAAAAACTGACAGGTTAACTGCTAAATTGTAGTGGTTGAAAGCACAGATTTTATACCTTACTAGCTATGTGACCCCTAGCAAAATTACTTATATTTCTGTGCTTTCCCTTTTAAACCTACATTGTAAAGATTAAATAATTTAACATACACTAAGTGACACCTAAGATTGTTGTTGTGACTCTGAATTTACTGTCCAAGTCCCGGTGAGGGCCAAGGCACTGCACTCTCTCTTCTTTGGGCATGCCATATAAAAGTGTAAGTCATGCTTCTGTGAAGTCTGCATATGTAATATTAACTATCTGGAATACAATTATTATAAAGGCAGGTGATACTTTTTAAAAAATTGTTTTAAACTAGGCTATCCTGAATCTAAGTAAATGAATTTTTCTAAGAAAAGAAAAAAATGGATAAATATTAGTAATGAAGTTGAAAAAGCAGAAGGAAAGAATAAGCTACATAAAAACTGTCATTTTAAAGTGAATGGTATGTATTCCAAGTTAATTAACACCATCTCCTTGCAGTCTACAATCATTTACAACTTGGAGATACATTTTGTCTAGCTTATAAGGTAACCAACCACTGCACCACTGCAATACTATGTCTCATTATACTAAATATCAAAAGAGAACAATAATACAAAGTCTTTAAAATTATATTCTTCTTTTACCATATTAAAATGTAAGCACCCTCAAAAGAGAAAACAATCACTTAAAAACCCCAAGCCTATCAACAATTTAATACAAGAACTGGGCTAATATTCATTAGTTCAGGGTTCTACTAAAGCGTGTCTTTGATCTTTACAAAACCGAAGACATTTAGAGTTTTACAATTAGTTCTATATATATTAAACAATTTGAGCTCATTTAAGTTAAGCTGCTGGATAAATGTAAACTTTATGCTGATTTTCTATTTGCTTGATCTATAATAAAGCAGCATATGAATAAAAACTGGGGCAAAATATGTTGCCCCATCTGAAAACTCAGTATTTGAGATGATTAATCATGAGAGGAAGTGATTTCTAGTGGGGCATATACTGTTCAGAAATGATTAATCATTGTTGCAACAGTTTTCAGCCTCCTGCACAATGGTGATCAGGTTATATTAATCAAATGCATACAGATAAAGAGATGCATCACTTAGGCAACATTAGCATATTCAAATTATTTGCATAGTAGGCAAATTTATATACATAAAAACTTTGAGAATTACACAAGGAGTCTGTAAAATTAGGGCAATGTTTATCTTCTGCTTTGATTTGCCTAAAGTAAGGTATCAAACCTTAGAAGGCGCAATCACACTTCCAAAATAAAGCAGTTAATTACTCAATAATTCTGGTTCCTGGGCAGTACTTGGAATTTATAAAAGTAGGCTATGAAAATAACCCCAAACCACATTAAAAGCTATGCATTTTTCTTCCTACCTCCTTAGGAACCTAAATCAGACATTACTAAATATAAATTTTAACACAGCTTAACAGCAAGACTAATTTATCTGTAATACATAGTAAAACTAACTCAGTTACATTTTTCCTTCCTGTCTCACCTCATGTTTAAAATTTTCATAGGTAAATTATTAAATATTTTCTTGTAGACTGTCCAGTTTTATAAAACAACCCCTTCACAACATACAGGAAAAAAGACAGTTAATAATGAGCTGAGTCTCTATTCTACATATTTCTATAGACATTACTTTATCCTTTAAAGAACTGTGACAAGTAACATTATTCCTAGTTATATTATTAATTTTTTGCAGTAGTGGGGATGGAACATAGGGATGCTCTACTACTGAGTTACATCCCCAGCCCTTTTTCCGATTTTTTATTTTGAGACAGGGTCTCACTAAGCTGCCTGAGCTGTCCTCAAACTTGTGACCTTCTTGCCTCCGCCTGCTGTGTTGCTGGCTAACAGTTT